ACCTCTTAATTGCTAGTGTTCCCAGGTCCACCCTGACATGGGGTGGTAGCATCTGTTAGGGTCCCAGCTATGGGGAAATAGTTAACTATTACCAGCGATACTTTTTTGAAAAACTTATTACCAGCAATACAATTTTGAAGGAAAAATATTACCAGAAACAGATTTTTGACAAAACAAAATATTACCAACAATAAAAAATGTTGTTGGCATTAAATAACCCATTGAGGTTGATATGCTGTAAAACAAAATAAACCAAACCAATCTAAACCAAAGAAAACATACTCTATTCATACGAATCTATCCTAAAAATGTTGTCGGCATTATATAACCCATTGACGTTAATATGTTGTAAAACAAAATAAACCAAACCAATCTAAACCAAAGAATACATATTCTATTCATACGAATCTATCCTAAAAATGTTGTCAGCATTAAATAACCCATTGAGGTTGATATGCCGTAAAACAAAATAAACCAAACCACTTTTACTTGCTTGGTTTATTTCTTAATATCCTTTGAGTTATAAAGTTTTAATTAGAAAAGAGAATCCTATACAAGAGGTTCTTCTTAGGCTAGAAGAAATGGAACTGCTATCGATGCTTTATGATAATTCATGAGTACATAAATGTCTGCCAGAAGTAATGGTCACTGCAGAATAGATAACTCTGTGCTTGTAGCTATAGAAAATGTCTGTCATTGCATAGTAAAAAAAAAAACCTTCTGAAAAGTAGGTATAACAATAATTTCCCATTTTTGAAGTTTCATATGAGAAAACTTAATAGTAGGGACATAACAAAATATACCATTTTTATGTGGTATAAGTAGAGGAAGCAACTAATATAGTTCTGTTCTTAAAATATCTGGAAGAGAAATGAGTAATATATATAAATTGATGTCTGCTTAGTAACATATATGGTGTAGTATATGCTTCTGCTGGCATGAACCCACAGGTTCACCTGGATCTAGCAAACATTTTTATTTTGGATTGTCTTAATTAAATTATCATTGATGCATATCACATGTAATTTGAAGAGATAATGACTGCATTGAGATGTTAACATTCTCTACAATTTCAGATGAAAGTTTAGGCCAAAAATCTTCAATCAATGCTGAAAAATGATAACAGCTAATGCACACTGAAAAATTCTCACAAGAAAGATTTGATCAATTTCAACTGATGGTAGCACTGGCTGCTTGGTCAATTGGTGCTAAATGTTTCTGCATAAGGAAACTTCTAATATTACTTGTACATTTCTGGATGTGGCAAAGCCAGCTTCTACAAAATTTAGGTATAGTTGTTTATTACAGATAGGTGTGTGTTTGTGTGTTTTTTTTTTTAGCATTCCTGAGGTCTAAGATGAGGTACTGAAACCTGTTAGCAAGATAATGAATTCTGAGCAGACTAGATGACAAACAGATGCTATAATATATGCATGAAAAATTTTGAAAAATGCACAAATAACCAAAGTACAGCAAGTTTTATATTAACAACAAAGGGTTGATAAGCCATTAAAAAAAAAAAAAAACTTGATCATGTAGTACTGGTGACAGTTAAGCTAAAAGATAGCTTTTGTAAATATCACAAAACTAGATGACAAAAAACATTGATATGTAGAATGAGATCTACACAGACAAAAAACACTTTGGTTTTGATAGGTAGGATTAGATATTTTTTTTGTATGACCTACAATGAGAAAACTTGAAAAGGGTTTGCTTGTGAGCTTGGTGTTGCAGGAATTATGATTTAGGGTAGCTTTGCAGTCTAATCTAGTAATGATTAAAATTGTACAGCTCTCAGTCATTACTCAAGTATCAGGAAATGCTAAAACACAGCCTGATCCCCATAGCTTTCAATATTTAACAAGTCAATTAAAATTGCTATTCTGTTAAGATAACATTTTTCCATTTGTCATGAAGTGATTTTTTTGATTCTATAAAAAATGTCTAAGAACTCATGGCAAGAGATGTGTACATTAACAGCAAGACACCAAAAATGAGCTATCATGGATGAATTAGAGAAAATCCATCAATTTATATCCTCTGAATTGGCAATCTCTGTGACATGGTCCTTCAGGCCTTGAAAGCAAAGGATGCAACCTGAATGTATTACCTTTTTCTTAAATGTCACAACTGAAGACACTCATTTGCATATGAACTCACAAAGACTATAAATTGCACTTGCTATTACCCATGAGGCAGTTAAGTGCATACTACTTCTTATACTACAATGGCATTGACAATATCTAATAAAACCAAAAATATAATTATCACATGCTGGAAGCTCGAAAAGCCTATTCACCCTCATGGGTAGACAAATTAGAGCCCTATTGGCCATGACTTATGCCACCATTGAAAAACTGTGGTATAAAAAGAATAATGAATCTAATCTACAAGAGGCAAAATTTGTGACAGAAAGTGGATAAAACACTATGATAATAGAAAAAAAAATTGGATATCAGCACATGCAGATCAAATTAGATTGCAACACAATAGCGAGGAAGAAATGTATAGTGAGCCTGAAAGTAATGAAGGCAAAAGTGTCATTTGTAATAAAAAAAAAAAACATGACAGTGAAATTGAGAATAAGATATACTCTGAAAATGAACAATCAGTAGAGGAAAACTCCTATGGAAAAGTAAAAAGATCACAATCTCTTAGGGAAAAGGTGGAAGATAGTGAGGAGACAAAAGCTCCCAGAAGTACCAGGAAAAATAAGGGGATAAAACCTCTTTGGTACAGGGGGTGAGGTGACTCATTTACATACTACTTCCTGTGAGTCAGTAACACTACACTACAATAACAAAAGCTACTAAATTTTGTGAGGTTATTATTACAAGAAATCTTTTTGTTTAAATAAAAGAAAAAAATCTGAGCTGGAGAATGAAAATTAAGTTAGAACTATATAGAAAATACTTTAAAATAACTTTAAAATATTTTATTATAATTTGGGCCTGCTTTGTTTAAAAGCAGGCCCAAATTATAATAAAATTACATGAGAAATTTTCAGTATATTTTAATTTTATTTTTAGCAGGAGTAGAGATTTGTCTCTTGTTTTCTGTTTAGGACTGGGTCTCCAGTTCCTTCTAAAGTGTCTGCTTCCACAATTCAAGCATCTTTGACTGAACTCTGAAATGTTATTTAGTAATTCAATCTTGACCTTTTTAAGTCTAGAATTAGCTGATGTCTTTCCTGCATTTTCCCCCAAAACCTCATTTTTTGCTTTTTCTTACACTAATACAACACTACACAGTAACTCTCTACATTGAGTGGCGCTTGGGCCTTGTATTGTAATGAACATAGATATATAGTTTCTGGATGGAGGGTATGTAAATACTTTTATATACATAAATACCTATGATAATTCCTAAATTATGCAATAAGAGATTAACAATTCTAACAATATATTGTAATTAAAATGAAATGATGGATAAAAGGATTATTCTTTGTAACCTCTAATTTTTTTCTTGCCTTATTAAGTCAAGACCTTTTACCCCTTGCACCTAAAGGAAGCATTTAATCACATAGCGAATTCAAATTGGTAGCATTGAAACATTTGCACATTGGATATATTAAGCAACACTTATAAATTGTTTATTTTGTGAGTTGATTGATGTTAACAAAAACTGTAAATAATTCAACCATTGTCTTAAAAATTTTGCTTTATTTTTCAGGGTATCTGTGAAGTTTTTGTTGGTGTTGGGTTTGCTACTGGTCCTGCACTTGGTGGAATCCTCTATAGTGTAGGATTTTAATTCTTATTTGTTTCTCTAATAAAAGTAATATTTAGAAATTCAATATAGAAGTCAAAATGAAGCTTTGAATAGCTTACAGATTAATGGTAAAACTGTCTCTTCTCTGACAAATAAGCAATGGTTTTCTGGAAACAAAAAAAATAATTCTATTCTGCATAGTATAATTCTGTTTTTTTCTTCGTTAACATTACCTTGGATAAAGGACGGACCATTTTGACATAGGAAAGGCAGAAGATATCAAAAAACACTGTGGTTTTAGTGAGATGGTTTGTTTAACAGCATATCAAATCCTTATGGATCATTTAATGCTGGCATTTTTTTTCATTTGAGATTTGGTTTTTTTTTTTTTCCAAAAATGAATTGCTGATAATTTTTTCTAATGTATCTTTTATGGTTTTATATTTTGATCACAGTTTAGGGGTTCACTTTTTGCCAATGGCTGGGACCTTAACAACTGCTACCATCCCCAGGTAAAGGTGAACCTGGGAACAACAGCATTTAAGAGGTGTTTCCACACTCCTCAAAACCTGCCAATCAGAGGCCTTGCTGCCAGATGTAGTTTATCATCATACCTAGGGTTTTACAGAGAAAAAGAAAGCATACATAATAAAAGAAGTTCTCAGATAAATGTTCTCATTTGTTTAACATTTACTTCAGTGAAATGGAAAAACTTTATCAATTTTGATTTTTCCTTTGTACTCTTTTTTTTTTAATGAACTGCATTCACTTTTTCACTTTTTATTTTAATTTTTTTTTAATTTTAGTCTCAAATTGCCATGGGTATTATAGCCGTGGAACTTGCAAGGAGTTCATTCAATCATTGAGGAGCTTGTCATTTTTTATTTTATTTTTTATCTGTGCTACTTACTAAGCTACAAAATGACTGAGTAGTTGTAGTAAAAAGCACTTGAAATTAAGATGAAAGAAATATTAGTCAAAAATTAATGGTTGACAGTTTCATGTAACAGATTTAAGATATTATTACTAAGAACAGAATAAGAAATGGACTTAATTTTATATTGATATACCATGACAGGAAATCCACCGCCCAAATAACATCTTTGTGGAATAAATTTTTTCTTGCTAAATCAAGGCATATCTCCTCTATCTATCATAAATTGAGATTTTTGTCCTAATTAAGAAACTTTCTCTAGAATTTAATAATTTTGTTCCATTTTCTGTCATATTACCAAGTACTTTTTTAAAATGAGGCTAAAATGATAATTATTAAACACTTTTTTTTGTAGGCTGGTGGTTTTATTCTTCCATTTGCTGTGACAGGAAGTGTGTTTTGGGCAATTATACCTATTAACTTTTGGATTCTGTCAAAAAGGAATGGTAATCATTTTTTGTGTCCTTGTTTTTATTTAGTATACCACTCAAGAAAATGTTATCAAAGAATCTTTACATACTTTCTTTGGAACTGGTGTTTTGCTTTCCAGTCAACTTTGATCTTCAAATATTTAAATGCAATGTCAGTTGTTTTCTTGTCTTAATTCCTGTTCTTTTATTGTTCTCTCTCCTTCATGTTTTTTTTTTTTTAATTCTTTCACACTCATTAACCTCCTTATCTTAATGATGCCCAATCAAATCTTATTTGGCATGAAATGTGCCTTGATGTGCCTTTTTTTTAAACTCAACAATCAATTCTTCTCTTGGTGGCTTTTATTGACTTCTTTGGATTGAAATGATTAAAAAAGTATTGAAACATTTTTTTGGCAAGGTTGGCAACAGTCAGCTTTGAAAGACTTGCATGAATAAAACAATTGAAACTTTCTTTAGTTGTAACCTGTATCACTTGAAGATGGCCAATCTTGTTCAAATTCTGTGTTTATGAGATATTTTAACAAAATCAAAAATGTGATGGAAAGACTCTACTCTAACCTACTGTAGGTTTACCCAGATCAATATACACCTGAGGTAGGCTGGAGGGTACAATGGCTGAAACATAACAGCAAAGATGACCATATTTTGAATATAAATAGAGTAAATATGACTCTACTTGTTCAGTCATTATGGCTGCACTGGTCACAACTCACCTGATAACATCACTTCAATTTTCCCATAGAAATCTGTTCTCTTATTCGTAAGAAATTTCTTGGCTCTGCTTGCCAAGTTACATAGCTGAGCAACATATTTAAAATGGCTGGACACTTTTCAAATAGACTTCAGATATTTATGGATGTACATAAATGATAATTTTGAACTGGCTAAGTCTTTGTATTTTCAGATCAGACATTTGACAGATTGGGTAACATCATGGTACTGTTTAAAAATCCTCTGGTGCTTGTGACTTGCTTTGTTATTATGATCTCGTATACAGTCCAGGCTGGATTATATCCAATTTTGGAACCACATCTTCGCATTGTAAGCAGTTCTAATTTTTCTTCTGTATTTGCAACTATAACACTAACAGCATTTGCTTTTAATATACACTGCGTGCCAAATTATTATCGAGATAACTTTTTTTCTAATATTTCAAAAACCGTCCAATCAATTCACACAAATTTGATCTGCGTAATCACTGAAATTTTCGTACTGATCTGCTTAATGTAAACAAACTGGCACCATGTTTGTTATCAGCATGGTGATTTGAGCGTGCCAAATTATTAGAAAGGTTTAGTAAAATTCCCAGAATTGAGCAAACAAAACGTTTATTAATGTTGAACATGAATGTTTATGATCAACAGAAGCTAATAATTAAGATAATCAAACAAACAAAAAAAAAAACAACAGTTTAAAAAAATAATAGGGAATGTGCTTTTCCTGTTTTGAAATTAAGAAGTCGACGATCCATAGAATTTGTTAATTGTAGGATGTCATCGGCTGTAATGCCGCAAGATATGCTTCCCATAACTCCAAAGGTTTTCGATTGTTCAAATCCAGAGAATTTGCTGGCCACTTCATTTTTCGAAGTCCATCAAAGCCTAACTGTTTCAAATATTCAGTAGTCTTGTGAGCAGCATGTGAGGGAGCATTATCTTGCATAAAAACAATGGCCCTTCTGAAGGCAATTCTTTTGCCTTTTCATCCATGGCTCAAGATGCCCCTTCATAAACGCTATGTATGCATCAACAGTCATTTTGATGCCATCTGGTACTTCTATGGGCCCACTGATGTTTTTCCAATAATACCACCCCAAATCATTATGCCTCCACCGCCTTGTTGGCATCTCAAACACTGATGGCGATTCTGTCCGTTCATTGCCCAGCCTTTGCACCATCTATCTGGTCCATGAAGTGTTGCTTGAGTTTCGTCTGTGAGCAAAACTAGAGAAGTCAATCTTCATATTGTCCTCGGCCCATTTCAATCGATTTTGAATGTGATTTCTCGTCAACGGAGGCTTCGATACAGGTTTGACTGTTGTTGCCATTTCCCTCAGATACCAACACCGAGTACTTTTAGACACAGTAGGATCCCCAATACGACTGAAAAGCTCTTGACTGGTAAGTCCAGGGTTCTTCATGGCCTCTCGTTTAAGTAGTGACATGAGACGACGGAAATAACCCTCGGCTTGCCTTCATATGCCCTTTTACATACTTGTGTAGGGTCAAATGAGTGAATTTTTCACTGTTTGATAACACTTCCCTATCATTTTAAAAATTTCTAGGTAGATTTACTTTTTGAGAGTTCTGAGGTAGTAGTTTTCTTGTCAGCATCACTTAAACTGCTTTTACGGCACATCTTTTTCACTAAATTCTTATACTTTTCTAATAATTTGGCACGCTCAAATCACCGTGCTGATAACAAATATGGCGCCAGTTTGTTTACATTGCACAGATCAGTACAAAAATTTCAGCCATTGTGCAGTTCAGTGTTGCCAACATTGTGTGAAAATTTAGTGTGAATTGATTGGACGATTTTTGAAATATTAGAAAAATGTCATAATAATTTGGCACACAGTGTACTTAAGATTGATAGAAAACACAAAGGATGAAAATGAAGATAGAAAACTTATATTTGGCATTTGAAATGATGGTAATATAAATACAGCACACACTCTCCTGTCTGAATCACCTGGGACCAGAAATTATCCTGAGTCTTTCATTTTTTTTTTTTTTTTTTGTAATGTTAGTAATGGCAAACCTAACATTTATGTCACCTTCTTTAGGTAACATTCCAAAATATTTGCATTCCTCCCTGGTTTCTTTGAACTGTTTAGGATTGGGTTTCCAGTTCATAGTCTTTCACTTTCATTAGCTCTTTGCATCTTAGTGACATTATCACCTTGCTTAAGATGAATTGATTAAAACAAAACTGGATATTTACAAAATATAAAGGAAGATTGTTTAAAAAAAAAATAAAATGAAATTTTGGTAGCATCATGTGTGATTCACTGTTGGTCATAATTTGATTGACTCTTTTGTTGAATAAATACGGCCATGATGCTACATTGCATGACTTATGATTCTTGTTTAGTCTGATCCCAACTCTGACTTATCTATATTAGTTGAACTCATCATGATTAAGCAGTGATGTTTGATATCTTCAAATTATATTGAATCACTACCCAATTCACTGGTTGAATGAGAAACCCTGGAACAAAGAAATCTGATTTGCTGTTGTCAGTTAATAAATAAGGCAAACACTCTTTTTCTATGTGCACAGGGTTGGATCACCCTCATTCCCTAGATAAACCTTTGGTAAGAAGAATGTTTCACTCTGAAAGGTTCTTCCTAAGAACCACTACTTTTTAAAACAGACTCCTGTGTAGGTGCTTCCCTAAACACTATAAGCTTAACCTCTTCAAGTCTAACTTCAGTTGTTATCTTTCCTTGTAATCTTCATTATTTCTTCCTCTTGTGGTGACATCTTATGCCACATTCACTAACCATCTACTCTGAGTGGCTCTTGGGACTTGGATTGGATTAACTGTAGTTGTTAAAAAAAAAGCTTTACTAGACAATAGCAGCAAATAACTATTACTTCCATAGTTCTATCAAATCTTAACTTTCAAGTAAGAGTAATAATTCTGGTTACATATTGTTTTGTGCCTAAGTATTTATTACTGAGTCTCTCTCTCTTTCTCTCTCTCTCTATATATATATATATATATATATATATATATATATATATATATATACTAGAATTCATTTTCTGTGTGTGTTATCATAACATGGCAGAAATGTCAAATTTTGTTAGTCATGCTAAGTCAATATAAAATGAAAAAGATATTTATCCAAATAAGATCTATTAACCACTCTGATCAATTTCCTGAACTTATTTTTATCAATTTATTTTATTTTTTATAGAAAATCAGTTGTGAAAAATGCATGAATTGTCTGCACTCGATTCCATCAGCCATAATGGGATACCAATGATGCTGCTAGATGTCTGTCCCATAATTGTTGTTACATTTGCATGCACACTTCATGTGATAACTGTAAGAATTGTTATTGGACAGAAGGCATAATAATTAAGCTTTACAGTTCTATAAATAAGGATGTGACATCAAAAGCAATTTTTAATTTGTAATTTTTCTTTATTTTTAATAAACAGTTTTCACTCAGTAGCCCAATTGTTGGACTGTTATTTTTACTGATGTCTGTGACATATGCCATATCTTCACCGTTCTGGGGATGTCTTTCTGATAACATGGTATGTTAATCATAAAATTTATTTTTGTTTTTACACAATGCAATACATAACTGTTTTTTTCTCTCTCTGCTCTTTTCTCTAGGAATCAAATGTATTTTCTATACAAAGCAACAATAGCAACAGCAATATATAATTTGGTGGGATGGAATAGTATCTAAGAAGTGTATATATTTTTTTTTCTTTTTTTTCTCTCCCTCTGAAAAGCCAGTAATTTATGTTATTACTTTTGTGATCGAGTGTTAATTTATATTTTTATTTCATCTAATTAAACTTCTCCAATCTGGTTAATTCGGAAGATATTTCACTTTTTAGCCAGGCATTTATCTTAAATCAATATTTACTGAACACACAAAAGTAGAATACAAACTAGCTTGCTTGCATAACTCTACAGAGCAATGCTCTTGTAATGGCAATGGCGTTACCATTAACAAGAAAAAATGTAGATGTGACAAAACAATAAACAGAAATAAGACTTGGTTGAGATAAGTTTTTATTTCTTGAGATTTACAAGGTTTGATTGCTGGCTCATTCCAGGATATCATATCTGTCATAAACCATTTAGAGGGAAAAAACATGGACTTACATGCCCATAATTTTTTTTTTTTTTACCATGACTTCAATTTTTAACTACCTTCACTCTTTGACAATGTTTGTCTTAAGCGATGTTTAGAATTGGAATAAAACTTAAATATATGAAAGTTTGTTTTTGAGAATTAACAAAATAATAAAAACACTATTATAGTATTTATTGGAATGGTTGACAAACATCAGCTAATTGTCAATCAATTCAAACTTTGTAAAATAGTAAATACTAAGGATTTCCTTATAACTAGTTTACATATTTTTTATAATTTAATAAATATTTATAAATTTATGAATAAAAATTGTTTTTGTATTTATTTTTTGATAAATTGGTAAATGAGATATTGGATTGCATTATTTCTAATTCTATTAGTTTTTAAAATGTTGTATGACCCTGACTGGTGTTAAAAGTTTACTGAAATGTACTTTTATTTGTAAAAAAAAATTTTCCAGGCTAAAAATGATGCGATATCATGAATTATCTGGTTTGTGTCACTTATGGAGTATAGTGAGAGGGGTGAAATTGTAATCTTGGGTAGGATTGATCATTACTTACAGTTTTAGCCCTGTTTAAGGTAAGTGTTGTTTTATTTGATAATGTTCATTGAATAAGTGTCACAAAAGCAAATCTTTATAGGTCAGGTTTGTTTTGATCAGGGATATAACACATTTTTCAGATATGATTGACAATGACACCTGTGATAATCAAATCAAATGAGAGTGAGATTCCAGAACATGGAAAATGTTCCACTGAAGGTGCAATGGAAGGCTACCATTTTTGATTGGATCACCAATGGATGGGATGGCGCTTCTCATCTCCCCCTCTGATACGTATGACACAGGGCCATTATTTTGACTGAACCACTAATCATATTGGGTTTTTAGGGGCTTTCCTTCCTCCTCTTCATGGCGTATAATACAATACCATAGGTCAAACATTATCATTGGTTGGCCCATCAGAGCAGTGCAATTGGAGTTTGTATCTACCCACCACCATAAAAGCAGTTGATGAAAGAGTAGAAAAAGAGATCAAACAGGTCTCATCACTGGTAGACCAACAACTCTCCCTGCCAGATGACAGTAGTGCATCAATCAACTAAAGACCTGTTCTCTGTGCCACTTTTTTTTGAACTCCCTTGATCAACTGCCTTCATTTAAAAATAGTTGAACGACTCTGGGCTGTTTAGCCATAATTGCAATTGCCTGTTAACCTCTTCCTCTCAGCTTAAGAATTCCTTATACAGGAAAACTTATAAATCCCTTTTATTTATGTATTCATGATCTTAATTAATCATAGTAGCATAAATAAAAGTTGTTATTTTTACACTGGTTAATAAGTGTTGTTGAAGTGAATTAAATTCCAAGCATAACCAGAACAGAGAGGAGTCAAGCCTGGTCTTTGACTGTTCTTTACCAATATTCCTGCATATACTGAAATACAAAAACAACATAGAGATGCAAAGTGGGCTTGCCAGAGTTGGCCAATGGACAGGGACTAGAGTAAGAATGACATTCAGCAAAGCACGCAGCAAAAGACCATAATTGTAAATATAAAATTATTCTTGTAAATAAACAATCTAATTGTGTTTAATGTTTTTGTAAATTCTTAACAAAAAACAAATGTTACGGTTTTATTCCAATTCTAAACATTGTTTTTTTTATTTAAACATTGCTGAAGAGTAAAGGTATTTAAAAATCACTGTCATAGGAAAACTGCACTTTTGACATTCCGTCTTATTGCGAGTAGGCATGTTTGCCATTTAGAGTATAATACTACGTAGAAGTTATGAAATCTACCATGTTCTTTTTTAAGCTTGCTTGCCATGGTGTCCGTCACTATACCAGATGGGTTGGATCTGTCATCATGGATGAAATTGGTGTTGGTCTTATAGTTAGTTGGTGGCTCAGAAATGAGTGATGTGAAAACCCACATAGGTCATTTCCTGATTGGCCAGAAAAGATGTTTTGTGACCCTGGTATTTCTGGACAGTATTCTAGAAGTGGGTTTCATAGAGCCAGACTAAATTAAGGTCTGTTTTTTTATCATATGAGCTGTGGATGTCAGTGAGCACTTCATTTTGAATTAAAGAATTGAAGTTCTTACACTCTCATCCCTGCTACAATGTGGATATTGTCATCTTTGACTTCCCAGTTTAGAATTAGGATTTTTTAAAACTTTTTCATGAAAATATCACTTAAATTAAAATTCCAACATTGCCAATATCTTTTTTTTTTCTCTAAGACAGAAATTTCAAAGATATTTTAAGAATTGATTTTAACTAGTTGAATGAATTAGTGGCTTTCATTTTTATTTTATATGAAATTATTTAAAAATTCCGTTTCATTTTTTTTTCTTCTCTTTAGTCTGATACAAAAAAACTTGCTCATCCCAGGATTTTATTTAATGGCAGTTTCATTACTCTTTCTGGGTCCTTCTCCAGTTTTGAAAATACAAGAAGAGTAAGTATTCTTATGAACTTTATTAGATGAACATATTTGAGGGTTTGATTTAGTTGCATTTTGTTAACCATGAAACTCTGCTTAATTGGTAGTCCTCTGGCAAAAGGAGGTTTCATTTGAAGCAGTGATTCTTCAATATGGGCCCAAGAAATATTTTAAATGGGCCTGGAGACACTAGAAGCAGTGTAGTCATCAGTCAGTGTTTATATTTTCTACATTTTGCTTTGTTAAATAAAGTGGATTTTCTGTTACATGGATATTTTGATTAATTTTTGTGACTCATTTTTGTAGCTTAGATATGGCACAAGGCTCGAAGTATGGCACACCTAGTGAGGATCAAACTCACTATTCAGTCATAACTGTTTTAGTGAGACAAGCTTGCTAACCATTACACCATGCCGAAGTGCCCAAGTGATTTTCTAAGCATAGCTTAGATGTGGCACAAGGTCAAAAGTATGCGGTACCCAGTGAAGATCAAACTCACTATTCAGTCATAATTGTTCTAGTGAGACAAGCTTGCTAACCATTACATCGCCTGGAGGTGCCCAATTTCTTATTAATATATAGCACTATTATTATGCATCAAGCACTATTTTATTAACAGCAGCACTTTAAGTACAAAATAGCACACCATAGCACTTTTGTCTGTGACTGAGTGAGATGGACAATTTATACATTTTTAACAGTCATATTTGTTACAAAAGAAATCTGTATTCAAACAATTTTTTTCACCGAACTAGTTAGTTCCTTTTTCTTTGCAGCTACCTTTGGTTGAATATTGTGTGTCTTGCTGTCCTCGGAATTTCCGTTAGTTCATCAGTTGTTCCAACGTATGACATGCTTTTAGAACACGCAGAGTAAGTGTATTTTTTTTATTATTTTATTTATTAAATTGCTTCCCGTGTTTTTGGACTGGCTGGTTGGGAAGTAGATAAAGGTGGAAATACAATCAATTCTTAAAATTTGATAAGTCTCTTTAAAAACAAAAAACATTGTTTCAGAGGTAAATTACACAATTATTGCATTGCTTTCAACTGTTGGGCATGGATATGTAACATTGATTTCATTTACAAAGTGATTGAATATAAAACAACATAAACATATAAAACGTTCTAATAAAACACATAAAAACACTTGGTTGTGTATATATATATATATATATATATATATATATATATTGGTAGAGTGGATAAATGAAATGGACAAATATAAGCAGGCATGTATGTGTGTGCAGGTGTGTATATGTAGGCAAGCAAATAAATAATCATCAAATACCACCCAGCGAAACTATAGTCGCATGCCAAAATGTATGTACTAATTAATATATATATATATATATATATATATATATATATATATGTATTTTGAAATGAAGAGAGTAACCACAAACGTTTTTGGTTATAATGTGGATTGTTTTTATATATATATATTATACTTTATTTTCCATACTTTTGCTACACATGTTTACAGACTTTTGACCTTCTTCACGCAAAGAGTTGTTATTTCCACATATTATTAAATAGTAATTAATTTTCCTTATGTTTTCTGATGTTTAACTATTGTCATTTGTGTGCAGTAGTAATCAAAATTGTTTCTTGGACTTCTTTACATTTTTGGAGTTGCAGTTTAAATTTTTATTTATTGTGAATATCATTGTGGGAGCCAACACACAAGACAGAGGGTTACAAAATGCCACAAAAAAAGATGTGGGGTTTGTAATATCATTGTAGAATGAAACTCGTACACTTTTGAAAGCCCCACAATAACATTCACAATAAATAAAAAATAAAATACAAGAAAAAAAATTCATAAACAAATATAAACCAGCACTAAACAGATCATAACACCACACACATAAACATACAACATACACACATAATGGCCAAATACACTGGTTGGACCACACACACACACACACACACACACACACACACACAAGTAACTATAGAGAATGAATATATATATATACATACTGGCAAAAACAAGCACAATAGACTACCCACAAGCACACACACAAACCCTACACAATATAGGCAGTGTGTGTGTGTATCTATATGTATCTCTCTCTCTTTCTCTCTCTCTCTCTCTCTCTATATATATATATATATATATATATATATATATATATATATATTTTCCTTATAATAAAACATTATATATGTATGAAGAAGGAATATGCATACACATACTAGCAAAAACACACATGCACACACAATACACCAAAATAAGAAGATACAGGGGTCATAAAATGATAAGAATGAAGACCTCCTTCCTTCGCCCTTTCTCTGATCAATCCTAATTGTTTTATTACTCCTTAAGCAGTCCAAGGAAAAAAATTAGGGTTACTACTACACACAAAAGACAATGGCTAAACATCAGAAAACATAAAGAAAATTAATTCCTTTTAATAATATGTGCAAATAACCACTCTTTGCCTAATAAAGGTCGCAAGACCAATAACAAATGTAGCAAAAATATGGAAAATAAAGCATAATATATATTTAAAAAAATTCACATTATAACCAAAAACGTTTGTGGTTTCTCTTTTCTCTTTAAAATATACACTTTTCTCTTGTTGAAACAATTATAACCTCTTCCTCATATATATATATATATATATATATATATATATATATATATATATATATATATATATATATATGGGGAGTTGTTAATACAAAGTTATTTGTATTTGCTTACAAAAATGATGTACCAGAACTAATTATGTACATGCCTAACAATGTCTCATGTGGTTTTCGTCAGATCATGTGACTGTTTTTAATTTTCATGAATATCTATAATTAGTTTTTTTATTAGCCAAGGGGAGATAACATTTTGTCTCTCACAATAAACCTTACTGCTTATCGATTTTGCTAAATCTTGTTTTGTTGGCTAGTTTATGAGCAATTGAATTAATGTTCAGGATAGGGTATTTATCACTTTTTGTTGTGCTGTTTAATGCATGGTAATCAACACAGCATCTGAAATTTCCATCTGGCTTTTTAACCACATATAGGGGGCAAGTCCATTTGTCGGAGTTACCTCCTCCTTCGCTCCTTAAACCTGAAGAGAAACAGGTCATTTCGACCTTGACCTCTCGTTTGTGCTCCCTATACACTGTTAACCTGTGGGAGAGACTAGCAAGTTCCCTTTTTAGCTAAGTTATATTACAAACCTAGTTGTAATATACTTCTAGACATTTTTAGGCCATAGTTCCCTTTAGCTAACTTCGACGTATTTTATTATAGAGACTTTACTGTTAGCTTATCCAATTCTCTTGCCGGTCTCCCTTATCACAAGACAGTGGCTTCTCACTAAATTCGAGGTCGTCGACTTCCGCTTTGGCGGATTTTGCCCAGTTTTGACAAAATAAGGATCGTTTCTCGGCCTTTGGCTGAGATTCGATCACGGCTACAACTAGTTTGGACTGGCTTCGGCCTGGACTAACTAAGACAAGCCATGCCCAGCGTTGACTAGGCTCTGAACAGTTTGTACATGCTAAGACCAGTTTTGGACCTTTTGGCCCTTTGAGTGGAAACACTCGGGTCTCCTACATTAAACTGACCTTGTGTCACATCCTCAGCGACTGAAGCGGTCGGATACGCAGGCCCCTGGCCTTCGCGGCCAGGAACGTCGATCAACGGGCTGCGTATTAAGTTACGCTCCCTTTTTTTTTTTTGTCTGCCAACTTGGCAATAGTTGGAAACTTTCCTTTCTCTCTCTCTCCCCTTCGCCTACTACTCCTGGCTCCTGTTCAACTCTCAGCATTCCGTCCCTACCGGCTGCCTGCACGCCGTCCTTAACCTTTTCCGTACACTATGTTAGCAATTATTACGGGAGGTTACTAATATCGGACTCGACCGGCAAACACGCAATGCCTGCACTGGCCCTGTGACATGCCCGAACAACGCCAGCTCCTCTTTCCTTCCCAACACGTCAAGTTGGCATCCCGGCCGAGACCAACATCAGCTGCAACAACCAACAATTGGCATCCCGGCCACGACCAACCTCCGACTACAATGACCAGTAGCGATCATCCCTGCAACATTCACTGTTTAACATTCACTGTCATATAAGATGATTGTTGTTACATAGCAATTCAGCACTCAATTCTTTATTTTGTTTTTCTGGTGTCACCCATAGAATTTCTATGGACCAAAATTACTATTATTACCAACAACTTCCCTTACTTAGCTTTATTTTTTAATCGTTTTTTAAGTTGTGTATAAATTTACAATGAATTTACATAGCAAAATACAGAAAATTTGTGATCTGAATTTTTTTAAAGATGTATTTCTGCAGAAACAGTAAATTGTTATATATATATGTGTATGTGTGTGTCTGTAGAAATGGCAACCTTTATTACAACCAAATATATATATATACATACATCTATATATATATAAATATATATATACACACACACACACACACGTGCATGTAGAAATAGCAACCTTTGCCCAGTCAAGGGAAAATATAGAGCATTTAATGTTATTTATCATGTCACCATTTACCCTAAAGAGAATAAATCAAACCAAGTTTATATAGGGATTTCTGCAGGGGAATAAAAAAAAGTCTTTATAACCACGGATAGTCCAACCCAAGACTAAAACACCAAACTACTTCCTCCACAAAATCTTGGGAATTGAGGGAGAAAGACCTGAACGCTCAAGTTGACTGGGAATTTATAGGTTTTGCTCAAACTCCAAATAGCTTTAAGGGTAGATGTTATTTATGTTTAGAGGAAAAAATTAAAATCATTAAATTTAAGAATCAAGATATTCTACTAAACAAAAGGAGTGAATTAGTATCCAAGTGTCACCATAGGAAAAAATTTCAGCTGACATAATATTATTTCAACCCACAGTCCAAGTTTTGCCACAGAAACAAATTTCAACTAACATAATATCTGCCTCTCTTTCATTTATATTTTTATATTGTGACATCTTCCCTATATGTAAAATTTTTTCGAGATGTGGAATTTCCTTCTATATCCCTCCTGTTTTCTATATGTAGAACTTTCTTCTATATCTAATTTTTTTATAATACTAAATTTTTTTTTATATTGAATCCTTTACAGAACTTTTAAATAATTAGTACAAGTATGATATAAATTAAATTATAAACTTAGTATTTGAAAATTTATTAATATTCTATTGATATAATGAGATTGGTTATATTTAAATGAAATTAATATATTAATAATTTACTTTAATTTTTTTACTGGAACTTTTACTATATAGTTAAAGTTGTAGTATTGAATGGATTAATTATTAACATTGTTTTATAAAAGTATTAATTTTAAATTCTTACTCCCATTCTATAATAATTTTAAGCTCCTCTCTAAAAAGTTTCATAGCCTTTTTTTTTTGTTCATTCTTCTTCCTTGCACAGGTGTTGATAGGTTGCATTTATGTAAGTGTCCATTTTCAACCGTTGCGTTTATCTGTAGCCAACTCCACCACAACCACCTTACGTCCCTTAACCCTCTTTATCTATATAACTCCCCACCCTCTATTATAGGCCAATACTTACTCCCTCTCCTTTTATTCTTTCCTTTTTCTTTTTTCCTTCTTTTGCCTTTTAAATTTCCTGCAAAGAAACGTTTTATTTATTTCAGTAAATGTATTTGCATTGATAAGTCCAAAGAAAAACTACTTTTCTATGGACGAAATGATCACTGGTATGAGATAAATCATTTGGCTCTCATTAATTGTGATTCACTTATATGACCTATAATAAAAATTATATTGAGCTCTCTTTTGTGGATCAGTTTTAATATTTTATATTAATAGGATCTACTTACATTACTTAGCCATGAATTTTTTTACCTAATATATATATATATATATATATATATATACAGAGAGAGAGAGAGAGAGAGAGAGAGATCTTAACAAAAATACAAGAAGGTTGTGATACACACAATTTTTCTTTTTTAGAAATGCTGGATTTGTAACCTCTATAGGTACTCATGGAATTGTTGCAGGCATTTGGAACTCAATGTCTGCCTGTGGGTAAGTAATATTTATTCCTGTTTTAGTTGAACATGTAATGATGATGATCATCACACACACACATACATACATACTTACGCAAATTCAAATTATACAACAACAAGCATTCATTGGATAATAAATCAACACTACTGTGTAATGGACAATTTATAAATTGCAGCTATGTGACAGTTTTATAATCGCTATATTTTCATGTAGTTAATTTTGTGCACTTTTGGGAGAATCAGATCCCAAGAGCCTTCTTAGCTTAGTAAATATTTTCAGGAAATATCAGCTTTTAATTGGTCAATAAACACACAAGTGTGCGTTGCAATCCACCCACGCACAATATATTTTTCCAGCATGTGACTAAGTCAAGTTTCCCGCCAAGGCGCTGTGAGCCTGTCACGTGATTACATTATCTATAAATAGCAAACACGAGTTTGCCTTTTTCTCTCTTCTTGCTGCAAAATGTAGTCCCAGAGAATTATTGTCTCAACCATGCGGTCAGGCGTTAAATAATATTTCACATATTCACGTACATACAAACTCTTACAAACTTTTCCAAAATATGAACATTCACCAAAGAACAAACACAAATGTTCACACACAAAAACAATTTTTAACTGTCTATGTGCTTTGAATTTGTTTTGTTTAATACATATATTTGTTTATATATATGTATATTGGTCTTGTTTGTTTGTTTTCTTTATCTTCTTAATTCAAGTCCAACATTCTCTTGTATCTGGACCTTCTTCTAGCAGGAAATTTAAAGGCACATGTTTTCTTTTCATCTTCACTTCCTGGTCCTCTACAAACATATTCAAAATGTTGAGATGGTATCAGTGGAAATTGTTCAGTTAAATAACTCCTGGCTTATCCTGTTTCTGTGTAAGTTAGTTTACTTATGTTAATATTGGATTCCGGGATCTGAATTCTTAATGGCTATATAATTTTTTTTTTTTTTGTTAAAATAAGGCAATTTTAGTGATAGAATCCTAAACCCGTGCATTGAAGTAGCTAATGTTGGCCTTAGACCAAGACTTTTCAAACTGTGGGTCTGAACCCTTCAGTGGGTTGCAAGATAAATAAAATGGGTTGAAACAAAAAGAAAAGAAAACTATTGTTATAGACAAGCGTATGGTTGCAAGAAAGAAATATGACAACAGTAGAAATAGATTTACGTGGTTTATTTCAACAGGAACGTAAGGGTTTAGGACAGCTATCTTGGTGTGGTAAAGTTCATAAGCCGGCTTTCGGATCTGGTCGATCTCTCATAGTAGTTCACACATGTTGACGGTGGTTGACGCTCTCCTGCTGACAGCTGCTAAACGTGACCGGTCTCCCTTGTGGCCACCTGTTGACTGACTGTTGAACTTCCGTGTGACCCCTTTTATAGCGTTTTTTTATGACTTAACAGGCTCGAGAAACGAAGTGAGTATAATTAGGAGGGAAGCATTTTTATTGGACGAAAATAGAGCACTTTAATTATTATTTTATTTTTCGGCCGGAACACGTGTGTCGGAAACATTTGTAAAGAAAGTTAATGGTCATTTTGTGACGGGGCTTTGTCCCGTTCACATCCGGTTCTCGCTCTTGGGTGTTTGCCTGTAAATCAGCCGAGATATGTTTTATTTTATTTTATAACAAGGCTCCCCCAGATCTCGGTCTCATTTACAGTGAGCGTTATTCGTGTATATTTGGGTGATTAATTCATGATAAATCTCTGAAGCGTGTGGGAAGTTGTCCTCGTGTTCTTCTTATTGGCATCTGTTTTGGTATGGGGTTATTTGCTGAGTTATGTGTCCCCCTACTGTGTGGAGGAGAATGATCCTGGTGACTGTTACATGGTGGAGGCAGAGGGGTTGTATTAGAAAGATGTGTTGGGCGTGGAGCCAGTCGTCGGATATGTGCACGGTGAATCCAGATTGTATCACCATCATCGTTTTGCACCTGACACATCATATTGTTCGTTTTTATAATGGTGTCAATTTCCTATCCAGGGCAGATGAGAGGATTGGGCAACAGTTGAGTGTGGCCGATGAAGTAAAACCTTCGTCGCCTACTTGTATTGGGTCCTTGTATGTGAGGCGATTTAAGTTAGTCTCAAGTTTGTGGTCAGCTTCATCGTTGGCCAGGGTGACGTGGTGGTGAACCTGCTTTAGCAGGGCATTAATTTGCATTCCATATGGTCCAGGATCGTCGCTTGTGATTTCTTTTCTGTTCTGTAGGTAGGCCGATGTTTGGGTGACGGCCAGTAATGGCATAGTGCGGGGAGACACCGGTGGCGCTGTTGGTCGTGGCATTCATGGACGAAACGACAGATTCTAGAACGTCTGTCCATTCACAGTTTCTGTCTTCGCATAACATATAAAGTGCGTTCTTCATCGTGCGATGTTGTCTCTCGATATTTCCTGAGCTTTGCGGGCGCCAAGGACAGTGAAGTTCTTGCGTGATTGACATCTGGTTACAGTATTATCGATAGACTTATCCAGTGAAGTGTGTGCCTCGATCAGAGGATACTATGCGTGGAATCTCTCTGTGTCGAAGGAAGAAATGGTACAATCCGCGGGCGGCGTCGATAGCATGGTCTCTCGCGCATGGTATGGCTGTAAAATGTCGGCTGAATCTATCCAAGATGGTTAGGATGTAACGTTTTCCCTTTGAGTTGGGCATTGTGACAAAGTCTATAAAGACGAGATCGAATGGTCTCTTTCCTCGTTTGCAGTGGCCAATGGGCCAGTGGGTACGTCTACCGTAGTTTCCCTTGCACTTAGCACACGTGTCGCAAGAATCGACATAGGCCTTGATGTCGCGGTTTTTGAATTCCCACCAGTAGCTGGAAAGGAGTTCTCGCATACGGGTGACACCTGAGTGGTTGTTGCCCTCGTGTGCCTGGTAGAGGTATCTGGATCGTAGTTTATATGGTACAACCAATCTCGGAGAGTGTTTACTGTCTCTTATCATCAAAACGGAGGTGCCTGGTTCTAGAAAAAATTGGTGAAAATGTTTTTTGAAAAGCGTAGCTCGTTGGTCGTCGGGATCGATATGAGGTTCACTTGGAGTGGGTGACTGGAGGGCGCTGATGATCTTTGCCAGGGCGTCGTCCTTCAGTTGTTCATCTGCGATGCCGAGGTGGTTGCAGATTCTCTCAGTGGGGATGGTGGTGGTGGTGGAGTGATAGGCGAAGAATGCGTTGGTGACGCGCTTGTGGGTGCTGGCGTTTTGTGGTGTGTGAGTTTTGGAAATGAGTTAAACTCGCCGAGGCACCAAGATGGGATGTATACGCGGAGGTCTGAACCGCTTACCTCGAATGTCTTGCCTGCCGGTGTAGGGTCGTTCGGGGCTTTCGTTTTCTTATTTCCGCAGCCTCTGCTGAGCATGTCAGCCCATACATTTGATTCGCCTTCAACATATTCCAAGACGAATTTATAACATGAAATTTCTTCTTGCCATCGTCGTATTTTTGGCATTATTGAACTCTCGTTGGTCCAGATATGTCAGCGATCTGTGGTCGGTGAAGATGACGAAGGGGCGGTTGCGAAAGAAATAATCAAATTTCAATATTGCCCACTTTATTGCATATGCCTCTCTTTCCGTCGTGGACCAGTTCTGTTCCGTGGAGTTGAATGTATGGGAAGCGACCGCTATGATATCTTTCTTCCCGTTGTCGGCTTCTTGCATTAAGATTGCTCCACATGCGACGTCGCTGGCGTCGGTGGTGAGTGTGAAAAGTTTGGAGAAATCTGGAAACGAGATGACAGGTGGTGAAGAGAGACGGTCCTTGATTTTTTTGAAGGCTCTGTCGGCATTTTGCGTCCAGACAAACGGTTTATTAACCTTACTGAGTTCGTGTATGGGACCCATAAGTTTTGAAAACATATCTGACCTAATTTGTTCGTGAAGACGTGTCTCTAGGAATTGTCTGATCCACACTAAACGGCCGACAAGGCTTTGTAATTCCTTTTTTGATGTTGGAGGTTTCATTTCCTGGATGGCACGAACGTATTCTGGATCAGCCTTGAATCCTTCGCTGTTTACTATGCGTCCGAGGAATTTTGCCTCTGATGCGAGGAAGAAACATTTATCAGGATTCAGCTTGAGTCCGAATTTTCGGAGGGCAGTAAAAAATTGTTCGAGGGAGAGTATGCACTCCCTAAATGTCCTAGCGTGGACCAGGTTGTCGTCGATATAGGAAGAAATGTTGTCACGGGATGTGACCGTGGCTAGTGCTTCTGCTATGCAACGGGAGAAGATTTGTCCGGCAGATGTAAGGCCGAAGGCCAGGCGCGTGTATTGATAGCATTGGTCCTTCCATGTAAATGCTGTTTTGTATCGGTCTCGCTTGTCGATCTCAATTTGCCAGTAGCCGCTGCGTAGATCAAGGGTAGTAAAATATCTATTGCTTTTGCCGATTTTGTTGAACAAGTGGTCGATCCTTGGCATTGGGTAAGGGTCAAGATCGACTAAGACCTTGTTGAGAGTTCTTTTAAAGTTAGCAACGACACGAATCGATCCGTTTTTCTT